ATATATATATATATATATATATATATATATATATAAAAAAATTTATTCTGACATGAAGCACTTAATACAAATAGTTAATTGGGCATCATTTGCAATAAATAAACTATTCATAAACACAGTCTTGCATAAGTAGTTGCACTGAATCAAATTTAACAATATACATTAAAATGAAAACTTGGACAAACAGGCTGGTTAAAATCTACCGTTCTGCTGTACAGCTTTACATCTATGCAGGAAAACAGGCTGTGCGTTGAAGCAGTGAGAGGAAAAACAGGTACGAGGTTAGAGGAACAATGGCTATACCTGGCACTAGGTTTCAATACTTTGGCACTGTCAGAGCTCATGGCAACAGCTCTCCACACAGCAGTTTTGGCCATCTCATCAGATATGTTAACCACAGAGGGGTCAGTGCTGCAGAAAAGACACATCAGAGCACTTACAGCTGGTCGCCCACACTTTAACACACTCATTTCACTTCCTGTTCACCAGCACTGTGCTTGATAGCCATTTGATTAATAAAGCAAGGAAATCACATCAGAAGAGCCTAGGACAACCCTTCCCAGCGCAGACCCTGTGTGTTATATCAGAGGTGAGCATTTAATGTTGTTGTGATGATGTTCTTGAGCAATATGTCATGTTAGCAATCAAAGCAAAGGTCTACTTGCTCCCTTGCTGAAAGCTAAACATCAACCTTATGGAATTGTTTTTCTTCTATAAGACCCCTCTAGATAAGATAAAGTAACTATGAAATGAACACTAAGCAGATCTGAGACCAATTGGACCAAACTTCCCAAACAAGAACAACAAAATCAATCCTTGAACTCTCAAAGCAAAATTATATTCACAGTGCAACCTATAACTAAAGGAGTGGTTTAAAAATTTGAGGTTGGTAAGATTTTGTTGAACGTTTTTGAGAGAAGTCTCTTGCTCATTAAGGCTGTATTTATTTGATCAAAAATACAATAATAATGTAAACAGTAGTACTATTGTGAAATATTATTGCAATTTAAAATAACTTTTCTATTTAGTATTTTCTAAAATGCAATTTATTTCTATGATGGCAAAGCTGAATCTGCTTTTTTAGACCTTTTTCAAGACCTGCACAAATAAAAGTAATACCATATGAGCAGGGTAGGGCAATGGTAACATATTAAACTGTAAAATGACTGTAAAAAGCATGAAAGTTTTATAAAATGACAAAATTCACATTTCAGCCTTTAAACCATTTTTAAGTCAAAAGTATCATTTATTATTTGAATTTAAACAATTATTATCAATCAATTATACTAATTAAATAGCATTATACAGTATAATTAAACATTAAATAAAATATTTTACTGCCTTAATTACATAGATTTTTATAAAGTAAACATGCAGAGTTGTAAATATGAACTGGTGGATCAACAAGAAAATAATGCAGTGTAAAAATATGGGTCGATTTTCCCATTGGTCTGCACAAAAACAGCAGACTGACTTTTTGAAACTTTTTGAAGACCTTTTATGGCCTTAAATTTGATCCAACTAAATTTAAGACAATGAGCAGGGTAAGGCAATGGTAACATATTAAACTGTAAAATGACTGTAAAAAGCATGAAAGTTTTATAAAATGACAAAATTCACATTTCAGCCTTTAAACCATTTTTAAGTCAAAAGTATCATTTATTATTTGAATTTAAACAATTATTATCAATCAATTATACTAATTAAATAGCATTATACAGTATAATTAAACATTAAATAAAATATTTTACTGCCTTAATTACATAGATTTTTATAAAGTAAACATGCAGAGTTGTAAATATGAACTGGTGGATCAACAAGAAAATAATGCAGTGTAAAAATATGGGTCGATTTTCCAATTGGTCTGCACAAAAACAGCAGACTGACTTTTTGAAAATGTCAATTAATTCTCTGCCAGCATGTGGCGCTTTTCAGTGGCAGAAATGTAGCCGTTTCCACGGTAACGGCAGAACACAAAGCAGTGCAGCACCGGACTTTGAAACATGCAGCGCTCATATAATGAAATCATTTAATGAAATCATAGCCTTTTGAAGTTTAATCATCACATTAACCCATATCGCAATTATTATCTTTCCGTCCCCAAATTTAAGACCTCTTGAAAGCATAATTAAGACTGTCTTGTACCATTTAAGACCTTTTATGGCCTTAAATTTGATCCAACTAAATTTAAGACTTTGTAAGGACCGTGGAAACCCTGAACATTCTTCTTTCTGACCCAAAACTTTTTAACAGTAATGTAGGTCTAAATTTTGTATAATCATCATGGTCAAAACAACAACTGGTTTGAGCACATATCTGAGATAAGATACAATAAATAAGGATTAATCGTGTTGTGTAATTATATAAAATACCTAATACCACATAATTGCACAACTGACCAATAAAAATTAATAATGTGGATTACTCGATATAAAAAATTGAAATAACTTGTCTTCAACTGTCATTTGAATACTAAATGAGCCACTGCTGTAATATTAATGCATCTGATGTTAATGTAATGAGACTTAGCACTCTGACATGAGTAAAATGCTCTTGAAGCCTAACAAGTGTACTGGTCAATGAAACAGCTGTCTGTCAATGTGATGGCCCTGGTTAATTTGTTTAGATATTACTGAGCTTTGGTTTACACATGAAATGTCGATTACCAAACATACAATGTAAATCATGAGCAGCAATCATCATCTGAAGCTGTTCTGCATTGGGAAACGATGAGTGGAATGAGGTGCATCAGTAGCTTCCCACCGCTGTTAACCAATGCAGAGCTGTTAGAGGAAGATTTAGACTCTTAACAACGCACTCACACCATGATGTGTAAAATACTCTGCGTTAATTAAACGTAAGTGATGATTAATAGCTGTAAAGAGAAAGTATGTGGTAACCAGAACTCAAGCAGGCCTGCAAGTAGACAAAAGACCAACCACTCTGCCCGTGTCTTCCTCGTATGAGGTGTCGGAGACTACGCTGTCAGATCTGTTTCAAAAGAAACAGGCCAAAACTTACTGAATGAGCCCTTGAATGAGGCCAACGCAGGGTGTTTAAAAGAAACCCACAGCAAAGAAATGCCTTAGCTGCAGTATGTAAGACATCCTGTGAAATCTAAGCGTAACTTTCACCAACCTGATTTTAAGGCTCTTCACAGGAATTTCCAGGTGGTCACCATTATCATAGGGGACCTCCATTCCACTTTCAGCCTCCATCATGCGCTGTGCTTCCTGGTTACACACATCAAGAGGTCTCTTTTTTTATCAAGAGAAGATAAATGTTAAATGCCTATGAAGAGGTACAGGACAGCTATCTTTAAAATTTCAGTGTGCAAGATCCACATCCTGAACAAGTACCTCTTTTGCCTTTTTCTTTTTGTCGTCTTCCTTTTTCTTCTTGCTTTCTGGCATTAAGTCATCCAACCAGCTAAGCTCCCTCTTCAAAAAGCAGAAATCCAGAAGCTTCCTCACAAATACCAGAGCAAGAACCTACAGAAGGCAAATACAAGACCTGAGTAAAAAACGTACTAATGGCTGATGAGCAGTACAATCTGAATGAAGAATTAATAAAAAAAAATATATATATATATTTTCTAAATGTAATCTACGAGCATGCAGAGACAGAATCAAATTTCTGTGCTAAATTCTCTCGCTGTGATAAATTTACTTATGTAGCAAGTGCATAATAAATTTGCTTAATTTTTTTTTTAATTAAGAAAGCTGCACAAATAATATGCAATAATGAGGTTATGTAAAGAAAAAAAAAGCAAGAAATGGTTTGAATATCGGTCAGTGTTTCAGTTAATGCAACATCTGAAATGGTGATTTATATTTTGTGCAGGTAAGCGTGATCTAATCACACTGGAGACACATTAGAATTAAGGTGTAAATGCAATTCGGCTAAAAAATATCAAATACACAAAACACTTCTTAATACCAGGTGTAAAGGGGAACTATGAATTTTAAACATACCATCATAGGGAATACCACCGCGGCAGCAGACGCTTTGATGACCCACAGCAGCACCAGGCAGGTGAGCTGAACTATTGTGAATATGTGAACCTTCCACAGCGGCACATATCGCAGGTAGATCAAGTCAGGCTGGTGCTTTGCAGGCATCCCAAACAGCTTAATACGGTCAAAGAACTGCAGTGCAACCAATACACAAACAACATGACCACACATCCATCATAGCCTTTGTTTCAGCTGCATGCATAAATAAGACGTGCATCAATCCTGTAATTAAATAAAGTACTGTGAATATGAAAGTGTGCTAACCTGTATGCCTTTGAGTGAGGAAACACCCATGTAGAGGAACACTCCATACAACACGGGCATTGGGATAAACTATAGAGAAATTAGAAAAAAATAATTTCCAGACATATGGAAATAATAGTCTTTATAATTAATTTAGCAATGGAAGAGTTTACTGAACCTTTAGACAAAATATATAAAATAAAAATGGCAAATGTTTTATTTTGTATTAGTTATAATTTTTGATGCATCAGGCTTCTACAGCTCACATAGCATGATTTGGTAGAATTTGGAGGAAAAAACATTTTCAGAGGCCCTAACTAAAATATGCAATTTATATACATTTATAAATATTTACATTGGCAAAAAGAAGAAATTCTGATAGCTTGAAAAGTAAATCACTGTGATCACTGTGAATGGCATTTCAGACGACTTTAAATTTGATACTTTTTAACATGATTTTTTCTGAGAGAAAAAAAAACATGTATGGATAATCAAGTAAACCAAAGTTGCTTCAGTTCAGTTAGTGTTCATCTTGAAATATTAGCAAAATAACATTTAAATTTATTGCAATTTTTTCTGCACTATAAACAGAGGCATACCTTTAGAATAGATGTCATGAAGACAGACAGACCCATAAGCACAAAGATCATGAACCCAGTAACCCTCTGCTCACGAATACCCAAAAACTTGGGCTGCTCTCCCGGGGCCGAGCACTCCGACTCCACCTTCAAACTGTTGACATGAGAGATGGAGAGGACGGTGGCAGCGACAAACCAGGGCAAGCCCATCACAGAACACACACCGAGCATCACAGCCACCACCAGAAGGTCAAGATGATACCCACAGCCTTTCTGCACAGATTCAAGAACAGATTCATGAGCACCAGGACCACTGCAGTGCTCTGACAGACAGGATCAGACGCTGAACTGACCTTGAGCTTGTGTTCTTTACGGTTGATGATGACAGCAGTGATCTGCTGATCCATGAAGATGAGGATGGTGCACAGGAGGGCAGGAATGGCTGCTGCAAACAGCGTCCATGTGGGGTTATCGCCCAGAGGAGAGATCAGCCAGCCCCGGCTCTTAGAGGTGGGCTATTGGACAGAAGAAAAACACTTTACATTAATGTTCTTCCCTTTATAATAAACATAAAATGTGATTTATTAGGGATGCACAATTTTTGTGTCATATCAGTTATCAGTCTAAATTAGAGAATGCTTTATTTATTGGTATCTGTATTGTAATTTCTCCTATTTTTACATTTAGACCACCTTTGCCATTATCTAATGTTCAAATAAAACTATTCTTTAAAAACACAGTTTAATAACACTTAAACATAATCTTTTGCAAACATTATACTGTTGTGATGCCTAAATTCACATGTGGCATTTAAAACGACTGATTTTAGTTTTTAATTTCAACTTATTTAGACAAAATCATACTGGTCGTGGGTGCATCCCTTTACAATAAGAATTTACAATAGGAATGAATGCTTTAGAGTCACCAAAGCCAAAACAAACAGCATCTAAGAAGCACATGCTGTACAATACTGCAAAAAAAGTTTAGGGTTGGTGCGATATTTTTAGTTTTTTTTTTTTTTTTTTAAAGAAGTCTCACCAAGGCTGCATTTATTTGATCAGAAATACGACAAAAACAGAATTATTGTGAAATATTTAGTGTCAAACAATCTTTCAGAAATCACTCAAATATATTGCTTTGTTGCTCAAGAAACATTTCTTATTAATATCAAGTTGAAAACAGTTCTGCTGCTTTTTGTGGAAACTGGTGCATTTTTTCAGGATCCTTTGATGAATAGCAAGTTCAAATGAAGAGCATTTATTTGAAATTCAAATAGCTTTTGTAACTTTATAAATCTCTTTTCAGTCACTTTTATTCAATTTAATGTGTCCTAGCTGAATAAAAGTATTAATTTCCTAAATTTCAAACATTTGAACAGTATTAAACTTTTGAGCATTACTGATAAATGGCAATACTTGAATAAAACTGCAGCACCTGGTTCTTAGGCTTTGTAAAAAAATTAAGTTGGACAAGAGAGGTTAAATCAACAGTCAAAGCTCAGCAGGATAACAGAAAACAGAAACCGCTGGAGTGGTTTAGAGTCAACTAAACCCTGCTAAGCGTGTTTTCTGTTTATTATGGATTATTTACAACAAAGTTTTGCCTCCATTCACATGATGATACACTCATTTCAACTGTTTTAGAAGATATAAAGCTATGCAAGTAAGTGTTCTGAGAAATACTATTCCAACTTTTCTTTGTAAAATAACTATTGGCCAAATTTAGAAGAGTGGAAACAAAGGTCAAAAGTCCAAAAACCCTAAAACCAGCCAAACATCTTTTGTTCAATCTAGTTTAACAACTCATCAAATTAAGATAAAAAAAAAACAAATTAATAATAGAAAATGACATTTATAGTACCTCAAAGGTATCTGGGACGTGTAGTTTAGGAGAGGGGACGCCCACCAAGTAATCAACCAAGACCATAATCATGATGGTTAGAAAAACTGCAAAGTCACTGATTGAAGAGCGGACCTGGAGAACAGAAACTAAATGTTAGAGTAAATAACACTATCAGCACATGATCTGCACATGACTCTACTGACCTTAGTGGGGAAATAGTGCTTGGTCTTGAACTGTTTGAGGAAGGATGACAGGAAGAAAGTGGTGAAGAACAGAATGACAGACCAGAACAATACGTCAGGGATGTACGGGCCATTATGCCCGCAAGCAGGACCCACAAACTCGCCATGGAGTTTCTTGCAATTCTTTAAAAAGAGAGAAAAAATAGCAAGTAATAATTAAAGATATTTGATTTATTTGATATGGATACAAGTGCAACTAAAACTTATTTTAAAAAATATATATATTCTAAAAGATTTTTAAACATGTCAAGCTTTGATACAAAAAAAACAACAGAACAAAAAAAAAAAAGATTTTACTTTTGTTAAAGGTTCCATAGGCATTTGATTTAGAAAAAAAATATGCTGTTAAGAAGTTGTTTCTTTATCATTTACTGATAAACCATAGTCCGACACCTTAACACCTTTCATACTGCCCTTATTCTGACTGTTCACTTTATTCTGATGTCTTTTCAAATTGGACAGATAAAATGAAATTAATGTGTAATGCCTTTAATCGTACTTCTCCTCATTATGTTAACTTTGGCAGCATTATTAAAGAAAGAAATGCTTACTGGCACATCAAGCTCACTCCAGTTAATGATCTCAGGATTAAAATCTGACTGATTCCATGCTTGTACCATCTTCTCTGTGATATTGGATGGAGGTGAACACTGACATCTAAGAAAAAAAACATTTAACATATAATATAATAAACATACTGTATAACATAAAACAATAAACAACAAGGTAAATATTTCCTTACGTGTAAAATGTGAGGTTGTCCAAATTGTCTAATAATAATAATAATAATACACATTGTTGTATATACACAAGGTATATACAGGAATCATGGAGTTAAATTTAATAATACTCTTTCCATACATTTTAAGACTTCATCACCACTCCAAGTTTTAGCCGGTTACATCGGCGACACTTTAACTTACATTTACTATATATTGATTGTAAGATAGCACAACTACACAGACTTACTTTGTGATAACTCCTTATCAATACAACATAATTCAGAAGGGGGAACGAAGCACAAGATAATTAATTGAGTGACTAACCAATGCAACCCAAGAAACAAGAATTAGACCAATAAACAAAACAACTGACAAAACTTGAGGAGGGAAAATAAAGCTCTCAGAGCTAACGGCAATGAGTTCACACAGCATATTCAAAAGATGTATTTGTCACACCAACTCTTATAACTGTCTGCAAACCATAGCTCTTTTGTGGAACATTTCTCATGACAAACATTTTATTGATTACGGAGTGCTTGATTTGATGCAGACTTGATAGAGTGTCAGTACTGCACCTGATCGTGTCTGAATGATCATGGAAGGTAAAATAATAATAAAAAAAGTAAAAGTAAAAGAAAAGAAAAAAGAAGATTGTTCTCGTGAGTGCGGATCATAATTTCCTATACTAGGTAAAATAATGATCACAACTACTACATCATTTTAATTGTGCACCCCAAGCCCATGCCAGTAAAAAAAAAAAACAGCCCAAAGTAGCGCAATTACCATGTCCCAAATATAAAAATGTCATTTCCATCCATAAAATACATATTTTACAGTCATTGTTATGCACATTTATCATAAACACAGCTCAAATGCTTCCTACTAGTGTGGCCCAAAATATTTAGCACAGTTTTATTACAGGTAGAATGCAAAATGTTTCAGTACAAGCATTTCAACCAAATGTAATTTATGCAATATTTCAAACCCACTGGGGAAAATCAACCCATGGCAACAGTTTAAAAGCAGCCCAATTTCGTGGAAAACAACAACAACTCTGCATCCAACACGAGCTGCAGAAGTCAGATTTGACTGATCATGGGTCAAAAGCAAGGAGAGATAACTGACAAGATGTTGGAGGATTTGCTCCTCAACAGATCCTAAGCTCATTGACAAATATCTTTTATCGTAAGATGTGCTCTCTTTACACAGTGTGCACGCGATCGCGAAATCGAAAGTGAAAGTTAACTGCGACTGCGAGCGCTCATTCAAAAGGGATTTAAATACGCCACATATTGATAGCGGCGCCCTGATGCGCTAAAATTATATACAATATTAGAATGTTTGCGCGTCAGAAATTCAGCGAGAGCGGGATCAACAAGCCCCGCGCTATCACACAGCGGCGCAGTCAGTCATGAGCGCCGTAACAGATGACATCAAATCTTGTGGGATTCCATAAATTTACATTTACACTTAGTCATTTAGCAGACACTTTTATCCAAGGCAATTTACAAATGAGGACAATACAAGTAATCAAAACTAACAAAAGAGCAACAATATGTAAGTGCAAATGACAAGTCTTGGTTAGCCTAATGCAGAACACGTAGCAAGGTTTATATACAGTATATATATATATATATATATAGGCTACAATAAAGAAACAAGATAGAATAGAAAAAGAATAGGGAATGCTAGTTTTAGAGGGTCTCTTTTTTAACCAAAAATAAAACAAGTCAAAAGAGTAGAAAAGCATAGAGAATGCTAGTATTAGAGGGTCATTTTTTTTATAATAAATAAAAAGAAAACAAGTAGACAGAATAAAAAGAATAGAGAAATCTAGTGTTAGAGTCTCTTATTTTTTTTATGAAAACAAGCAGTTAGAGAATTAATAGAGAGTACAAGTGTTAAAGGGTCAAATGTTTTTTTTTAATAAAAAAGAAAACAAACAAATAAAAATATAATTACAATAGAGAGTACTAGAGTTAGAGGGCCAAATAAAGATGGAACAGATGCGTTTCTTGTAGATGGCTTAGGACTCAGCTGCTGGGATTGAGTTGGGCAGGTCATTCCACCAGGAGGGAACAGTTAATGTAAAAGTCTGAGAAAGTGATTTTGTGCCTCTTTGAGATGGCACAATAATACGCCATTCACTTGCAAAACACAAGCTTCTAGAGGACACATAACTCTGATGTAATGAATTTATGTAAAGGGGTGCAGAGCCAGTTGTGGTTTTGTAGGCAAACATTAATGCCTTGAATTTAATGCGAGCAGCTATTGCCAGTGCAAGTTGATGAACAGAGGTGTGACGTGCATTATTTTCGGCTCATTAAAGATTAATCTTGCTGCCGCGTTCTGAATTAATTGGTTTGATAGAACTGGCTGGAAGACCTGCCAAGAGAGCATTGCAATAGTCCAGCCTGGATAAAACAAGAGCTTGAACAAGGAGTTGTGTAGCACGTTCCGAAAGAAGAGGCCTGATCTTCCTAATGTTGTGTAAAGCAAATCTGTATAAACCTTCATAAAAGATATACAAATTTATATCTGAGATATAAAGTCATAATTGCATGATATAAGAAAAAAAAAGTCAGAATTGGGAGATAAAATGTTGCAATTAGCTTTTACATTTTTTTAATTATTAAATTATTTGCAAGATGTAAACATAAAAAATTATTTATGTCTTGCAATTCTCACTTTTTTCCTCATAATTGTGAGACAAAAAGTCACAATTACCTTCTATATTTTCAATCCCTTGGCAGATACGGGCTTCCAAAAGACACTGCTTTCAAAAACATTAATCTACAAAAAAATTCAACCCCAAACATTTAAACAGTAGTACATGTATAACACTTCTAAATGACAATATAAAATCCTCTCCCTCACCTGTTTGTCGAATATAAAGTTGCAATATTGAATCTGTGCTGATCTTTGTACTTAAAACTGATTCCAGATCCAATGCCTGAAAAAGTACAAAAAAAAATCCCATCAAGGTCAAGTGCAGAAAATGCAACCACAGAACACAACATCCATGTATTCAGTCTAATAACTGACTAGAATTAACTATAAGTAATGGCACAGTTGCACCATCAATCTGACGCTGAGGTAGTCCTGCGACAGGCAGCACATGCGGGGAACACATGATCGTATTCATGAGGGAAATCTCTAACTGCTCAAGCCCCGGGCCGAACATGGCAAACTGTGGCTCTGAAACCGGTACAAGGGACTGGAAGAAGGACGTCACAGATTCAAACACTCTGGGTTGGTGTTGCCATTGGTTTCGACAGGCTGGACAAACACGTAGATACCTGTGGGTGCCATGAGAATATTACAGTAAATATTAAGGGTTTATAAATACAGGCTAACAACCTTCATAGATATTAGTTATAAAGCACTTGTATTATTTTTCATTAAATAAAGTGTAATATAAATAATAATAAAATAAAAATTTCGCACCAAGAGCTGATTATTTCACTAAGAGCACCAAGAGCTGATTATTTCTGATACTGAAGTGTCATGTGGCGCAGCGTTACGTACTTACTCTGCCATATAATCCAGCTGCATCTCAGAGTCATCCAGCACAGCTGAGCCAGTGAGCTTGACCTGAGGCACTGATGAATGGTCAACTGACTGCCAGAGCGGCATATCACGCAACAGGAAGTACTTCCACAGGACAGGGTCTCGAACCATTGACCGCCAGTACGTACTGGTGCTTCCCAGTCTGCAGAGGTCTTGCGGAGACAGGAAGGTCATAATGAGAAACTGCATGTCAACCTGTGTGTTTGGGTAAGAAAGACAAAAAAATGTGTTTTGGAGAACCGTTCAAATGTTTGGGGTAACAGTAAAACAGTAATATTGCGAAAGATTATTGCAGATTTAAAAAACTGTTTTCGATTTTTTTAGTATATTTTAAAATGTAATTTATTCCAGGGATGGCAAAGCTGAATTTTTAGCAGCCATTACTCCTAAGATGATACTTCAGAAATCATTTTATGTTCGTTCTAATGTTCTTCGTTCTTTCTTCTGTGATATTTTTCAGGATTCTTTGATGAAAGTTAAAAAGAACACCGTTTATTTAAAATAGATATTTTTGTAACCTTATAAAATACCTTAATGTCACTTTTGATTAATGTAATGCATCCTTGCTGTAAAATTATTAATTTCTTAAAAAAACCTTACCGATTCCAATATTTTGAGCAGTAGTGTAAATAACACTAACACTAATTATTTAGAGACATTATCTGGTATTAGCATCTATACAGCTGCAGTTTAGTCGACATATGTAGGATATTGTATTTGTGTATGTACTGTATATGCAGGCTATGCTTGGCACCATACTGCTCTAATTACTGCAGAATAGTATGTATACTGTGCACAGTATATATTATATTATTAGTCCGGACTTTGGGACGTCCAGACTTTAGTTTTGCGTGTATAATAGTCTAACTCATAGTGTAAAATAGTCAAACTGATTGCTTTTAGATGGAAAAGCTGCCCATAACTCCTGGACTAGTATCTGTTTTCTTCGTAATAATAGCATAACGAAATACATTTGTCAAACAATCCAGTGTATCTGCCCTTCTGTTTTGGAAAGCGTGAAATTATTTTATAAAGCATTTTTGCAGAGGGGAGCAAAGTAGCCAATTACAGACATGTTTGTTGATTTCTACAACGCAATGGCCAATCAGATGTGTTTAGGTTGGAATCCACGCACTCACCCCTTTTTGTCCGGTGACGAGTTCTATCATGCTCTTAAACTTCATTAAAAAAAAAAAAGTTTCATTGTGTGGTCCCATTCATTGGTTAAAACGGAACTTTGTGAGATCGTGATGAATGAGTGACCATTTTTAATCAATTTAAAGGGAGCGCTCTTTCCATGCTGTACGCGATAATATATTCAGAATTTAAATAAAACGTGTGTTTTTCATGCTTGACAAGCGGCCACGTACAACACAGAGATAGCTAACTACTACACTATATAGAAAAAGATAATAGCCTAATTTCAGAAGTACAAAGTGATGTGATTCTGCAACTGAGCCTTGTCCAAAAGCAGGATTTAGGTAAGGAAACGGTTATTAATTATTTGTATTGGCTGCCATGCCAAATCATGAACCTGCTTGCTTTTATGTTTAATTTAAGTGTTTTTGTGAGTGTATATGCTTTAACAAATAATTTTAACATTTTACAATAAGGTTCCATTAATTAATGTTAGTTAATGTATTAAAGTGTATTAAAGTGTTAATTATTGTAAATTGTTACCCAAATAATGTATTTTGAGCATTCATTTGAAACTAAGTGCTACCCCC